CTGATATTTTTGTGGGTTTTTATATGACATGATTCTTTGTTTTGCGGCATAACAACAACAAAACATTGTTTAAACACGTGTGCCGGTAGTCCATATTTAACACTAGGTAATGTTAGTTTATATATATATATATATATCTTCTTCAAATACAAATAATCACGCTTTGGAAAGAGATGAGTACTCGTCTAATCATCCACTAGGCATACTGAATACTGGTATAAACTTTACCAGAAATTCACACTTGGTTACGTCAGAAAAATAATAATTTAATACGACAAATGTATGTTCAAAAAAGGAAACACTGTATAGTATTGTAAAGTCCTATTGCGGGGATATTTGGAATACCGTACTGTCTCTACGTAGACAGTGCTGCCGCCTGCTTGATATATTCGTTCATCTTGAGCCTCCCCAGTGGCATAGCGGTATGCCTACGGACTTACAACGCTAGAATCCGGGTTTGGATATCCGTGGTGCAGAGCACAGATAGCCCATTGTATTGCTTTGTGCTTAACTTCAAAGAAGCAAACGTCCATCTTGATATCTGGATCGTTCATAAACAAAAAAACAAAAACACGTATATTCAGTACGTATATTGAAAATATTTTGAAGATACAAATCAAAAAGTCACACTACAACAATAATCGATATAAAGTCGCAGTGAAACGGATGTATCAGAACTACATTTTTACACTGTTTGGCGTTCGTAGGTAGTGTGTTACCACCACAAATCTGTCGATTTTTTGAAAGGTATTTAACAGCCTTTTCCTAGGCAAAATATCCCTTGTACTTAATTAATAGCATTGGAAAACAAAGGAATATGGATCAGCTTTGAGTCCCAAGACCATCCAGAAAAAGACCTGCAAGAAGTCGTAACCCAGGCATGTTAAGTAAAGTGTAGCGTCTTTTAACAGGCGAGAACCCACGAGCACATACGTCAGCGGAAGAAGCCGTCTACTCTTGATCACCAGGATCTTGATCACTCTCTGACCATGTTGGTCATCACAATGTTTTATCATATTTCAGTTTTTTCAATGGAATAATTATAGCTGAAATTAAAACTTCATTGGCTTAAGGTGTGCTATTTGATTAAAAAAGAAACAAAAATGGGATATCAAGCGTTGAAATTTTCAATTTCCTGCAAAACAAGAAAATTAATATTTGTTATCGCTAGGATTAAGCCTTTAAATAAGTAGGTAAAAGCAAATAATACTAAAAGGTTATAAAACCGCTCTCTCTCTCTCTCTGGCTAAAAACCCAGAGTTTACAACGTGTCATTGCTTTAAGTAATCGAAATGTAACAAAAATATACAACAGTTTGTTTATTTTGAAGTCAAAAGATGGCGCTACATTCTTAATACTTTACATATATGTGTGTGTATGAGAGTGTGTATGTGTGTGTGCAGGTACATGCGTATACATATATTTCGCAATACAAATATACAGTCTTTATTGAAACAGAATGTACCTACAATTTGGCAATGCAATAGGAAGTCTTTTTTTTTCCTTTTGCTATTTTCTAATTTAATTGTGTATTAATTAAAAACAAATAGATTCGGTACGATGAAGGTTTCAACACACACACAGCTGGTTTAATTATATTTATGTTATAGTTCTTCTACATGTCGACTGGTATTCTCCAGACAAACCCTTCACATATGATATAAATAAAGCCACGTCAAGGATTAAATTTCATACAGTCATATATCGGGACCCTCCAATGGCACAGAAGTATGTCTGCTGACCTATAACGCTAGAAACCGGGTTTCGATAC